CTAAACCCTGAACCCTAGAACCCAAAACCCTAAACCCTAGCCATAAACTTTAGGCCCTGAGGCTGGTCTCGAGAGCCAGACACCAGCATCTTGCGACAGGGGCTCGCTGCCAAACAGGTCACCTGGGCTAAGGCTTAGAAGGTTTAGGCTTTAGGAACCAGGGCTTTGAGTTTAGGACTTGTAACTTAGAGCATTGCAAAATCGTCATGCAAAGAATGGACTAAGGTCACCATTTCCAGGTTTATGCGTACTTACATCGCATATTCTTATCCAACTGCTAATGAGTGGGGGCAGTACCCAAACAATTTCAAACAACGCAGAACTGGATGCTAGGAGGTAAAGTTTGAGCCTTCACCAATATGGAGAACTTAATGCAAAAGACAATGGAAAATGAAATGGAACCTGTTCTGGTCTACTTACTACCTTAAACCCAAAACCCCAAAGAGCATGGCATGAAGGAATGGAAAAACAACAGAAACCACTTGTTTGAGATGTTGCGCGGCTTAGGGTTTAGGATTTCGGCACGAAAAGTCTAGTGCGGATCCATTCCTGCCTTCCTTGCTAATCAGAAGTATGTAATGGGCTCCGGCCCTTTAAAGGTGATTTATGGGGTCCCTTCAAGGGGGTTCATAGGGGTATATGACGGTCATTGCAGGGATACGTAGGATTTAGGGTTTGGCTCATGATATGGTTCTATATATGCTTGTATATGTATATATACATAGACTTGATGATATAGCCTCCTCTCATCTGGGGAGCAGAAACCGAAAGTCTCGCACACCTGAAACCTTAGACTCGTATCTCGAGACCCCTCAGCCCGGACCTCTAAACCTTCATTCCACGAAGCCCTTTACCCTGAACCTTGTTGGAACACAACTGGTGCGATGCTAGAAATTCCAATGCGAATGTGAACTCTCGTGCTCCGCACTTTCATGTGGTCTAACTAGACATATACCAACGGAAGCCAAGCGGCTGTGTCGGCGTGCATCTGACTGCGTGACAGAGAGGAGCCGCAGGAGGTAGAGTACAGTACAACAGCGTTGTCATGGCCGCCCAGGGCAAGAAGCTCTGTATCAAGCGCAGCCACCGCAGAGAGTGGCATGGGAGAGATTCTGAAGTTGCGACGTGAAGACGCCGAGGCCACAGGGCCAGTGGGCAAAGGGCTGACCCGCAGGCAGCCATCCTCTCCAACAGCATAAAGATTTGTCGCGCAGCTGTCCATGCCCGTGATGCCTCCGGACGCAAACGGCGTCGTCAGCTGTGCAGTCAAAGACCGGAGGCTCGCGAGGCTCCCCGCGCGGGAACGCCACAGCTCTCCTCCTCCAGCGGCCGGCGCGGGCACGGGGCTGCGCTGCGCTGTTTTTGCGGCGACGCCGTTGCTGGTGGGAGCTGCCCGGTAGCCCTCCATGCCGAAGTCTGTCTTGCCTACGCCCTGCAGACTTTCGTGCGCGATGCTCCTTATCGCCTTGTACCACGGCTCCGACTGCCCGGGCTCCTGCCAGGGTGCTCTTCTTTGACTCAAAACAGAACCTTACAATAAAATCTCTAGAGCCAGCTGGCCTTTTTGCTATGACGAACCCCCGCAACAAAGTTTAGTAGTCCCCTACACAATCCCCCATATAATCCCCCTTTAAGGAGTTTAGACCCGCGCTCCTGCAGCTTGGTCAGAGGCCACTTCGGTGTCCGTAACCTGGGCGGGTGGGCCTCGAAAAGGGGCGTCATCAAATCCTACCTCATATGAGCTATAGTCTAAACTCCTAGTAGCCCCCTTAATAAGCCCATAATGGTCCCCTGAATACTCCCTGATATAACCCCTTTTGAGGAGTTTAGAGTACAGTTCACGCAGGCATCTCTCAAAGATTTCAAGCCCTCAAAGACCTTGACCCTTAGCGTAAGCTTGTACTCTCCAGGCATGAAGCCTTCAGATCCCCATAGACCCGTAAGGGTTTAGAGTTTAGGGTCAAAGATTACCTCATCCCCAAGCTGTTAATCCCAAACCCTATCCCTAAACCCCACCCTCTCAACCCTAATCCCTAAACCTTAATCCCTAAATTTTAACCCTTACAAACCCTAAGCCCTAAACCCTAACGTAGCTATTCAGGATCATTTAGAATAATTTCAATTCCCAATCTAAGGCCATTTCGGTGCTATCCCCTATATAAAAACCACCATGTAGGGTGAGGTCGGGTGAGGTCGCCTTAAATTGCCCAGTCTACTGTAAAACCTTAAACAGGATCACCATTTCCCTAAACCCTAAACCCTAAAACCCCAAACCCTGAACCCCAAACCCTAAACCCTAAACCCCCATCGCGCCTCGAAAAAGAGCTGCCGAGGCATCCGCCCAAACTCCTGGAGCTGTGTCTCCTCCAAGGACTTTGGGCTTAGGGTTAGAAGGTTTTGGGATTTTAAGGCTTTGGGGTTTTAGGGTTTTGGGGTTTAGGACTTTGGGCTTAGGGTTTTGGGCTTGGGGTCTAGGGCTTAGGGTTTTGGGCTTGGGGTCTAGGGCTTAGGGTTTTGGGGGTTTAAGGCTTAGGGTTTAGCTCTTAGGGTCTTGGGGGTTTAGGGCTTAGGGTTTAGCGCTTAGGGTTTTGGGGGTTTAGGGCTTAGGGTTTTGGGTTAGGGGGGTTGGGGTATAGGGTTGAAGGCTTAGGGTATGAGTTTTTGGGAATTAGGGTTTGGGGGTTTAGGGTTTGGGGTATAAGGTTTTGGATTTAGAGGTTTGGGGTTTTGGGGTTTAGGGCTTAGGGCTTTGGGTCAATAATGTAAATAATGTATATATAATCATAATAATCATAGTAATATGAGAGACGTGTCTGTTAAAGCACGATTTGGAGCAATACAGGTGTATATCGCAATATATGGGGTTGTACAGGAAATTATGCTTTAGGATTTGGGGTTTGGGGATATATAGTCACCCTTGTACTAATATTCAGCACCCTTTCCTATTATTAAGTATTCCCCGATAATCGTATGTTGGGGGCCGGACCATACACTCCAAACTCTACAGGGTGTTTGGTATCAGTATGAAGGACTTAGTAGAGGCCTTTTGGTAAACGTATCGGTTCCCCAGCAACCTAGCACTGAAAGGTGCCCTTTTTTCAAATAGGACCCTAAAACCTGGATCCTAAACCCTAAGCCCTAAATCTTAAACTCTAAAGGAACCTAGGACCCCCAAACAAAGGGGAAAGGGGCCTACAGGAAAAACCTCGGTTTAGGGTGTAGGGTTTAGGGTTTAGGGGGTATTGCGGGGGGCGAGGGCGTCAAGGCTGTATGAGGCAGGGTTTAAGTGAGGCTTTTGAGGCCCCAAAGCCACCAACGCATGAAAACCCCACAAAAACAAATGCCGAACCACCCAAAAGCCCTTGAACCCCCCGCGTGATCCACCCACCCACCCTTTTAGAGAAGAACCCCTTCTCTAAACAAAAGCGATCCCTCTCGGGCCTAGGCTTCATACAAGGTTCAGAGTTTTGGGGGCCTAGGGCTCTGAAGTATATATATATATATGGCTTTTTTTGAGGCCTTACAATCAACAAACCAGAAAAACATATCCAAGACCCCCCCTTGGCGCTAGAGTTGCGGAGATATGCATGGGAGTTTGTCAAGAAAATGGCTATAGGATCTCCACGACGACCCTAAACCCTGAACCGTACGCCGAAGGACCATAAATGGGGTCCCTGAGGCCCCATTTTTGAAAATGTGGCAAACCTTACATTCTCCGCCCTACAAAAAGTCTCCAGCACATCCATGGGCAGAGATAGCGCGTCCACGGCCTTCCAGGGGCTCAAGGCTTACGAATTAGGGAGTGGACATACACATGTATATACATATATTATATGTAGATAGCGGCAAAGGGTACTGAGTAGGGGTCAGGGTCTAGGGCTTAGGGCAGAAAGTAATTGGGGCCATGTTGTTTAAGACCTGTCGGGTATCTAGGCTATTGTTCGCTACCTCGCCCAAGGTACAAACTGTAGTAACTCTACTACGAAAGAACAAGCCAAAAAAACAAGTCTCTTGTTGAAATTTCAATGAAGGCCACCACGTAATTCAGGCACCAAAGATCGTGCCCGACACTTCAAAAACTCCTTGACACCACTACAGTGGCAAGCCCTCCATGAACAACGCTAAAGCCCCAAGATAAACTTGCCTAAGTCTAGAAAACCTGTAAACAACTCATGTGAGCTATAGTCTAAACTCCTAGTATCCCTCTTAATTTTAATACTCCCCTCTACAATGCCCTATATAACCCCCGTTAAGGAGTTTAGACTATAGCAATGTAGAGTACTGACCAAGATGTATAACAAACCAAGACGCCCCAACCCTTAAACTGCAGATAGGAAGCCTGAAATGCGGTTTAGGGTTTACGGCAAATGGGGGGGGCCAAATGAGTAGTGTTTTTTTGG